TGTTTATGTAGCCTAGAACTGTGTTGGCTTTTTTGACAGTTGCTGCACACTGCTGGCTCATATTTAAATGGTTGTCCACTAGGCTTCCAAAATCCCTCTCACAGTTACTACTATTGAGCAAGGTACTACCTATACTGTACCTGTGCATTTTGTTTTTCTTGCCTAAATGTAGAACATAATTGCTGAAGCCCTGAATTTATTGGGACTTACTCTCAAATATATTATCAACTATGCATTTGCTTAGGATTTAAAAATCAACCAGTACATAAATCAGATCAATTATACGTAGGATAACCACTTGTACTAATTCCCCCCATATTTTGTTCAGATATTTAAAAAATATTGATTTATGATGAAACACATCTAACAAGCCTCAGATTATTGCCTTAAAAAACACATTTAAGAGATTTCTATAACAAAATTTAAATTCCATGAGCCATTATGGAAGATATATACTACCCAAGTAAGAAAGAAATACGATGATCTCCTTTAAAACAATTATATATAATCTTTTAGGTTTGAAGTTTAGTCATTGTAAAACAATTAATCAAATACGTAACAAAATATGCTTTGATGTCTCCACTAGCAATTTGTGAAAGTTTTGACACCGTATTAAGATAATTTTATAACCAGGTCAAGAGAATATAAAGCAATTCACATTTAGGCATTAACTGATTAAATTAATATCAACTTCCTTTTTTATACTTTATTATACTAGGGAGATAATTTAGTAGTTATGCAGTTATGATAGTCACTAATCTTACTTTGCAAAGTATCATTGTTGAGAGTTCAAGACCTGATTAGCCAACTTTTAACATCAAAACCACCACAAATATATTATTCAGAATGTACTATATGAAACAATGCTAATATAGACTGGATCTGGATAGACTCAGTTTTGATTCTCTGCCCAGCTATATAATCCTCTTTAATTGCTTTTAGGGCAATCATTATCAGTCTACCCTACTGCACAGAATAATTGTGTAAATAAAATCCAAGAGGGGGGAAAATGCAGGACAAGTATAATATAAATGAAACAAAACTAATATATCTAATCAGCTCCAAATAAACTGATCCTCAGATTTACCATGATTTTTAAAACTATCAAACATTGGAAGATCAAAAGATGGAAGAGCTTGATTTTGGTAATTCTTGAGTTTAGAGGTGTTTTCTTCTGAAGAGATATGAATTAGTGCTGCTTCCATTAAAATGACAAAAGCCTTGTGGCATTGTGCCACAACTCTAACCCTTTTGTGCATGCATGAGGTGTTGTGGTGCCCAAAGGAAAGCTGTGCCATTTGGGCTACATGTAAGCAGTGCTAAACTCTTTTACATGTTATGGGCACAGAAGGGCACTTACTGGTAAATCTCTCAGCCTTTTCTAGAGATGTGTTTTTGAGTACAATAGCTGTTCCTGCAAAATGTTTAAATAACTATCTCCAAATTCAGAAGGACATTAACACTAGCATCGATGGAAATGTGTTCTTGAAGGGAAATTTAAGGGGGAAATCATTTATATTAAGACTGCACTGGTAGAGAATTTCAAAATACTGAAAACATTTTGTTGCATAGCTATATTTTAGAACTCTCTTTTTTACATTTTCAGATCATTTGGATATATGTTGCTGTTCTCCAATGTATATAACTCAATTTCACTGCATATAGTCAAATTCTATTTTACAGTTTGTAAAAGTTGCCATGACCTCATCATACCACTATTTCTATTTTTTTTCTTCATTTTATATTGTATGCTTTAAATTTTAATTGCTTTTAGCAAAACATTGACCACAATAAAGTCTGAATTGTGACAGAAAACAGGCAGAGTTTTCTTTTGTTAGTTTCAGCCTCCTTGCAGACTTTGATGGATAGTTTTTCAGTGCCTCTCCAAAATTTCCATAATACTGTCAATTTTAATGTGATTGAAAGACAAAATTATTTACATACATAGGAAGTCATTATCAATTCCACTCAAACAAATGCAAGTTTAATGAAACAAAATTTACTTTTTGTCTAGCTGTATCTATTTGCCATGGTCCTGCCTATTTTTGGAATTTGGCTCTTGGCAGGTCACTCCAAACCCAAAAAAATGACTCTTGGTATGAAAAAAAGATTGAATTTTTTTTTCTTATGAGATATTGTCTCCAATATTTGCAGCTTATAGGGGGAAAACTACCTTAATGAAGTTAAAGTTAATGAAGAGAAAATTGTTTATAAAGAGAAATCTGAACTTTAAAGCATTGTGATTTGTGAGCAGTAACTGAACTCATACTCGATATAAAGTAATTGTGTGGCTGATCTCCTTGTCTTAGCATTTGCAATGTATTTTAAAAGTTAATTACTCATGCTGGTTGATCCAGAGTTGAGAGTGGCGAAAACCACAACAAACCTTTATCAGCAACAATAAAACTAGGTTTCAATGTTGCCCAGATATTTTTCAAGAGGAATGTTAAACCTTGGAGAAAGAGGCAGGTCATAATGGAGGTTGGAAATAGCATTTTAACAGTTTCCTATTAAGATTAGCAATTCTCATACAAAGAGAAAACAGGCTTCCCCAGTACAGTACTAACTTTTGGTGACTGGGTGTGTAGGCCAACATATTTGGTGGTCTTTAAAATGAGGAAAGACTGATCATTCCCAAATCTGCAAAGCCATGTACAACAGCTGAAAAGTCTACCATCTTCTATTCCCACCACCATCCCACTTTTTCTCCCCGTACTATTTATTCGTTTATCAAATTCAGCTCACTCTATTTTAAAGGAAACAGATATTTAGCTATTGCTAAATATCACCACCTATCTCAATTTACTGAATATATTTCAGCATAAATATTACTTGCTTAGTATGCAAAGTCTGTACAAATCACATTGCCACAGTTCTGTACAACTGTTCTTGTGGTGTTTCCATTAACTCAGTGAAGATCGTGGGAAACCTTGTAGTGGGCCCGTTTCCACATCTATCCAATATGGCAGATAAACAGGCCTAGGCCTAATTTGTATGTTGCATGGGAGACATTGAGGAATACAATAGGTGTTTCCTAGACTGAGGGATTAAAAACATGTTCATTATTGTCACAGAAGTGCAGGTTGACCAGAAGACTTCATTTTGTGTAACAAAGTACTCATAACTCCATCACCAAAACTGGTCCTCTAAAAACTAGATCATAATTGAATGTCAACTCCTAATGTTTTATGGCAATGTGATTTCTTTTATAATTGATCTTCCATTTTAAAATATGCAGGCTATATAAGAAATCTCCCTTCTAATCGAAGTAAATGTGTAATCCCAGTTTTATGAGGGTAATCCCTCAAAAGAGATCATGGCAGTCTGCAAATCAGTTTACCATTTAATCCCAGAATGCATTGGCCCACCACTAGAAAAACACTCTGCCTATGTTCAGAGGCCTTGCCCAGGGGCTTAAATGCTGGCATCCAAAGTAGATTTTGCAGAACAGAACAGGCCTTAAATTAAGGCCTGCATTCTTAAAATCCAATTATCTGTATCCTATCCGGGTCGGCCAATAACCCTGCCCTCCCCTCCCCGGCCCACATCAAAGAAACCTTGCTCTAATGAAAACACAATCCTCGCGATCGGGCCCCTGCTTGTGTCATCAGCATCTATGACTTCCTTCCAAAGATAACCCGGGTCTCTCGCTCACCTAATAGCCAGGAGTTCGTGGAACAGATAGGCGGCAGCGGCGAGCAGGGCCCCCCCAGTCAAATAAAGGGTTTTCTTCCACCACGAATCAGATCCCAGCCCTGTCATGATCCCGCCGTAATCCTGCAGTGGGAAAGCAAGGATTTCCCCATAAAAGGAAAAGTGACCGTCGGACCCCTCGCACCAAAGGCTTTGATTCCTGCTTAGATCCACCACGCACGACCTGGATGAGGCGAAGCCAACCCCCCAGGGCATGCTGCGCGACGCGGGCGTTGCTAGCTCCCGTTTGCCCACGGATCGACGCCGGGGCCGTCTGCATGGGGGAGAAACCGGGCGGCGTCAAGGTGCTGGCGGCAGGGGCAAGCCGGGAGTTCGACAATAGAGGAAGAGGAGGAGGAGGAAGAAGAAGAGAAAAGGGAGATCGCGGCGGCAGTGAAGGCTCTGCCGAGTGTCCTTGGCGAGCTCTGCAACATCAGCACCAACATCACCGGCAGCGGTACTTTTTCCTTGCCGCTACCTCTCGGTCTTTATGTCTTCGCCCGGAGGAGGGAGGGAGGGAGGTGATGTCATGGCTTTCAATCTGCCTTAAAAACCCGCGGGAGAGTCCAGTCCGTGGAAAATGAAACACGAAAGCAACGAGATTAGCGGAGAGAGGAAGGCGGAGGTCACTCGTTAAACGGAGGACACGATTTAAGGGGGAGCTGCGCGGCTCCCGGCACCGGGAAGGGAGGCAGACCGAAGGATGGCTGGAAAATTAGCATATATATATATATACCGTTCCGGGTGGAAGCGGAGTTCTGTTCTATTGGTTCATTTTGTTGTTGTTGTTGTTGTGTCCTGCATCTTTGGTGGCATCAGCCCAGGGTTGTGTCACGTGGTCTCCCCCTCCAAGCGGTGAGCTGCAAAAATATAATCGCTTCCGTTTGGTACACACCGACCTTTGTGTTTTAGCATCTACGTGTTTCCGCGTTTTATATCACTCCGTCTCCCTCTGTTTCTCTCCCCTTCAAGTTTTAATCGCTGCTTTCATCTTTTTAGAGATTGGCGTTTCCATTCTGCAGGCTTTGTTTGGCTGAAAACAATGTCATCGGGGAATTGGGGGATCCAAGGTCATTGTGCCTGTAAAGTTACAAGGGGTAATTTTGAAAACAAATCTCTTTACAGTGTGGGAAGTTATCACCCAGCCCTCTCCCAGAAAAATGAAATATCCTAGGAAATATTGAAAAGGCAGAATATTTCTCTGGATATGAAAAGAAACATGTTTTAAAGGACAGAACAGTTGCCTGTAGCTTCCTGCCCATCCCCACTTTCTCAATGGACCATTGANTGGCTTGAAAAATGGCCTGAAAATGGCCTGCATTTTGGGGCCATTTTCAGGCTGTTTTTCTGGCTGTTTTCTGGGCCATTTTAAGGCCATTTTTGGCCAGGTTTTGAACCATTTTCTGGCACTCTGGGGCCCACGAAGACCAGCTGGCCGGCATATTGGAAACCAAAAGAGCAGCTGGCAATGGCGCATGTGCCCATAGAGAGGGCTCTGTGTGCCATCACGGCTATAGAGGTTTAATAAATCCATCTTATGGCTTAATTTGTTAATAACAAGAAAAAGAGGCAAAAATACAGCATCAAATGTCGGCAGTGGAACCTTGAGATATCTTAGGACAACTTGTGATCCGCAGACTTCTGAGCTCTGCTTTGCAACAGAATATTAATTGAAGCTGAGGACACAATCTCTCTGTGTTTAGGAACTGGGATCTAGAGAACACAACTCTCCATCAGGTTCTCCTTCTGGTTGGCAGATGCCAACAAGAAGCAAAGAAGGCTTTTGTGTTCTTATCTGTGCTGCTCACGATGGATAGGTGATTCACGAGGGATCTTGCAGTATTGGTATCTACACTGTAAGGGAATACGTCTGTGGCTTTATGGCTATATTTCCTGCTCTCAAACACACTCTGTAGCTAATGATATTTTGAAACACTGACTGATTGTTGTTGTTACAAGAATATGCTTTTATGATGACTCAGGCCAACACAAATCATATTTCAGGATCAATCCATCTTATTAATTCTACAAGCTTATGGAAAATATAGCACAAAGACATGTTTTCCCTACTTTGAGTTAACTGATTCCGATTATTTATCTATTTTTATTTATTTACTGGAACTTAAAGACCACTCTAATCCAACAAGACTCTGAAAGGTTCACATTCCCTTCTTCAGTGAGTAAAGGTAAAGGTTCCCTTTGCATAATTGTGCTGGTCGTTCCCGACTCTAGGGTACGGTGCTCATCTCCATTTCAAAGTTGAAGAGCCAGCGTTGTCCAAATACAACTCCATGGTCATGCGGCCGGCATTACTAAATGCCGAAGGTGCACGGAATGCTGTTACCTTCCCACCAAAGGTATTTTTCTGCAAGTATTTTTCTACTTGCATTTTTTACATGCTTTCAAACTGCTAGGTTGGCAGAAGCTGGGACAAGTAACGGGAGCTCA